AGTCAGCCTGGACGATAAAAACCGTATGGTTCCACGACCGACGTCTATTCATCAAGTTGTGTCAATTTGGGCCACGTGCTGCCTTCAAGAACCCTGAAAGTACTTTTATCTGTGCTCGGACGTTCTAAATCTGTTTTTTGTAGTTTAAAACAACAAAGCAAAACTGAATCTGTAACAATATAACGTGATTAAAAGCGCTTTAAAACTGTCTTATTTTTATATTTTCAGTCTATTAATCGCTACACACTGTGCCCTCTCGTCGTACATTTGCAAAAATTCCGACAGGCCCTAAAAGCAGCAGTTAGCTTCATAACAGCCCTGATAAACTGTGTTGTAGGACTGTACATGAAGCAGAGAGGAAGGCGCCATGGCTGCTCTTTTTAAAGCTAGAAAAGGTGGGTACATTAACAGAAAATCGGCAGAACAATGAATAACGATGATGAATAAAGTTAATTTCCCACTGGAAGCCGGTGTGAGCTTCATATTAGCTGCATGGAAATGTCATATTAGCTAGCTTAGCTTCCTCCATACCGGCAGTTACATGACCTGGTTTAACTAACCCACCTAGTTGTCTCATTTACTACTACAACTGTTAACCAGGCTGTAAGAAATGTAACTGTTTGCATGTTTTGGGCATTTTGTCCGTTGGTTTAACGGTGAATGTGTTTAGCTCCTTGGCTATATAAGGTGACAGGTTAGCTCGCTGCTAACAATAATACCAATAATACCAGCTCACTTTAAGAGACAACATCAGGTGGATGTGTTGGGGAACAGTTTAAAATCTGTGTCTGTTGCCGACATGAGTTTTTAAAGTGTCACACTGAGATGAAGGTGACTGATGATGAGGATGAACTTTCACCTGAATAACATGAAGCTAACTGGTGAGCTGTGCTGCGTTCAAAGACACGATAGCTGACCAACAGTGTTGCAGAATGAAGAGCACATTACCAACAGGAAAGTAATTCAGCTAAACATGCCATATTATATGTATGCTGTTATAATAGGAAAAATAGTGATGTTCTTTATATAGAGCACTTTTCAAACTTAAGGGTACAAAATGATTTACACAGCACATAGGTTAAAATCAACACGTTATAAAATGATCAAACAGATTCACTTGGGCTGCAACTATCAAACATTATCATTGCTGGTTAATCTGCTGATTATTTTCTTGATTAGATATCAATAAATGCCTGTCAGAATTTACTAGCATACAAGATGAAGACATTTGATGTATTGATTTGTCTCAAAAGAACCCTAAAATATTGAATTCACTGTCATTTATAGTAAGGAAAAGCAGCACTATTTGCAAATTTAGAAAGTAAAATTTATTCACCTCAATTAATAGGAAAAACAGTCAGTAGATATAATCTATTTATTTTTTAACGGTTAATGAATGAATGAAGTAATTGTTGCAGTTGTAGCTTCCACCAACGTAAACTTAGATACATACATGTCTCAGGCAGGTAAATAACATTAAACATGAACAATGATTGTTATTATTGGTAACTGACAGACAGTTAAACTGCAAAAATTCTGATGATCAATTAACTTTGTAGTTGTCTTTTAATATGGAAAAAAAATTGAAATGGAAAAGCTTTCTAATGTGAGGATCTACTGAAATTGAGTATTTAGTTTTTTTTGTTTGTTTGTTTTTTAAAAATATTGGTTGAACAAAAAAAGTAATTTAAAGACTGAAGGGACTTTCCTGATCAGTTTAGCCGTTTCCAAACATTTTCGACACTAGACAGTTATTAATCAGAGAGAAGTCTCAGCAGATTTACGCATACATGCGTTCTTGGATAATTATGTCAAATTTATGGCAGGACTGATTCAGCCCTATACATCTAAGTAGCTGGTTATCAAACTGTTAAGCTCAGCCACATTTTTCACCAATTTTTATAGACCAAATGTGAATCGTCCATCTATCCATTATCTATGCACCACTTAATCCTCACTAAGGTCGCGGGGGGCTGGAGCCTATCCCAGCTGACTTAGGGTGAAGGCAGGGGACACCCTGAACAGGTCGCCAGTCTATTGCAGGGCTACACTTAGAGACAGACAACCAAGCACACTCACATTCACACCTACGGACAATTTAGAATCACCAATGAACCTCAACGTGTTTTTGGACTTGTGGGAGGAAGGCGCAGAACCTGGAGAGAACCCACGCTGCACGGGGAGAACATGCAAATACCACACAGAAAGATCCCAGTGCCCCCACAGGGATGTGAACCGGCAACCGTCTTGCTGCGAGGCAACAGTGCTAACCAACTGCACCACCTTGCAGGCCCCAAACATGAATCAGTGTATCCAACAAATGTAGGTTAACTATCAGTGAAAATAACCATTTCCACGCCTTTTTATCATACAGTTGTATTTTAGCATGTCACATCACTGACTAATGTTTCCATTATGACCAGTTGTGAAGGACGTCAGTCCCTCATGCAGTATGTAAGTGATGAGTGCTTTTGTTTAGCACTAAATGACTGTAACTTCCATCGTGGGTTTCATGGCCTCAGTTAGAATTGTCTAAAAAGTTCACATTCTTCAGCTGTAATCCAGTACTACACTACAATACTACAGTATTTCGAAGACCAAATTTAAGCTGATTGTATGTTCTGCTGCTGCAGTAACAAACACAGATGATTTATAATCTCACACCTCAAAGTTGGGAAGATATCAGTGTGGTTGCTCAGTTTCAGCACTTTAAGCTTGTGTTCTTTGTTCTAACATCATATTACATCTGACCCCATCACAATAAATCACATCTAACTGTGAACTTTGTGAATAATTACAGTTGCAGTAACATCATGTTTCGCCTCTGGCTCGCTGTGGGCGTCTTCAAAGCTGCAGCTGGATCTCATTATTTTTGCTCATCATCAAAGCAGTTAATCAAATCACATGGCTCTCAGTGCAATATGGAATAGACAAATGTCTGTGTAGATGTCTATCTGCACAACAGTTAAACTTAGCTTACTAAACACTTCTTACAAAATTGTTTCAACAAATAGAAAACAGTGAAAAGAAAGTCATGGATTACGTAGTTTATTTACCACTCTATCATTACTTCGGAAGCAAATAAATACTGTGGGGTTTTTTTTTTGTTTGTTTTTTTCTTTTCACAAATTCAAATGGGAAATTGAAGTGTCTGATATTCCAGACCCTGTAACTTGTTTTTATACCTAGAGAGAAAAAAAATAAAACAATCAAACTGCTCAGTGGGAGTGGAGAAAAAGCCATAAAACTTCAAGGTGAACCAAAGAACAATTTTATGTCTGTCCTATCAGATTACTTTGGGAATCAAACCAAAGTGTTCAAGGTCAAAAGTCAATTAATTGTTGTTGATAATGTGGGTAATTGTTAAGAAATGCCATGAATACACAAGTTTCAAAATGCAAAAATCCTGCTTTCAGCTTCTCTGATGTGATAATTTGCTTCTAAGAACACCGGAGGTTTATGGGAATGTAATTGTTTTTTTTTTAGTATTGACCAGTTTAGATGAAAAGGCAGCGTCACATGCAGTTATTACAAGTCATTCTGAGGGGAACACAAAAGCCAAGTTTCATGACAGTCCATCCAATAGTTGTGGAGATTTTTCAGTCTAAACTAAAATATCAAACTGGTGCCATCAAATAAGTAATAGTGAGAAAAAGTCCCCGAAGGTAGTTGAATTCAGCCTCTGGGGACCGTAAGTATTTCTACAAATGACAATAAACAACCCAATTGCTTTTGAGATATTTAAGTCTGGCCCAAAGTGGTGAACCCATACAGCCACATCTCTAGCATCACTAAAGAGGGATGGAAGTTAAGTACTAAAACCTGTTTATTTTTCCCTCTCAGCTCTTGGTTTGTGTCTCAGCGGCTGTCGAAGTCTGACCCAGCTTGCAGAGTTACCAGATACTCATCAGATATTGAGGCAAACCTGCAGAGACTACGCTGACAGAGAACTGATGCCCATCGCTGCCAAACTAGACAAAGAGCACGTTTTCCCTGCCAAACAGGTACCCACACATAGCTGCACAGTGAGATGTTTTGATGGACGTAAATTGGAACCTGTTGTTATTTGCACGCCAGTTTTTAGCAAGTCAAGATAAAAACCTTGGTGATAGTTTATGAGTCTAGAGAGCAAGTCAACTGTCAAGGAACAATAATTGGCATTTTGATAATAAAAATGTAGGAAATGATAATGTGAAAATAATGTCACAAGATATTATGAGCTAAGTCTGCAGCTAAAAGAACCAGATATTTTGTGGTAGAACCTAAAAACAGATTTTTAAAAAAGTGAATATTGGACCTGAATTAACTACATTAGCCGGTCAAAGCCAGGTATTTCCTTCAGAAGGTGGTGGAGACCAAAAATAGAGCTGAAAGAGAGTGAATATTTGGACTAGGTATAACCATGTTAGCAGCTAAAGAGCCAGATATTTCCCCTAGGAGGTTTTGGAGACCAAAAACAGAAGGAAAAATAGTAGACATCTGACACAAGACTGAGAAAATGAATAATCAAACAATCAATATAATATCCATCCAGATTAATGAATTGGGAGCGATGGGCGTCATGGCAATGGAGGTTCCGGAGGAGCTGGGCGGAGCTGGGATGGACTACCTTGCGTACAGTGTGGCTATGGAGGAGATCAGCAGAGGCTGCGCCAGCACTGGAGTTGTGGTGTCTGTCAACAATGTGAGCAAAGTGTGCCCACTGTGAACATGAATAGACCTGAGTGGGACAGCGCAGGTGACTATGTGTTAATAGATTGTGCTTTTGTTCTCAGTCTCTGTATATCGGACCGATACTAAAGTTTGGTACAGAGGAACAGAAAAAGCAGTGGATCACCCCATTCACCACCGGAGAGAAGGTGGGCTGTTTTGCCCTCAGTGAGCCAGGTAAATATCAGTCCTCACTATGTGTTCAGTTACAGTACCTAAAAGATGCTGCTGTCCGATTTTACTAGAAAACAAACAACTTGTGTTTCGTAAAGTGTCAAAACGATGTGATATCTTATCATTCAGAAGACTTTACCTTAGAAAATTATCATTAAAATACCTAACTTTATATATCGACTTTCATGTAGCAGCCTGAGTTTTCTTTCATATTTCAGAGTGCAAAGCATGAATTCACCTTTTTATACCCAAATCTGAGCCACTGGGCTTCTCTGATAAGTCAGAAATTAATCAAGCATAACATTCAACCATTAAAACTAACTTGTCTGTTCAGGAATGCAAGTAAACAACGAAAATTTGACATCTTAATCAAGAAATAATAATGTGCTTTACTGTTTTGTTTTTTGTTTTTTGTAAAATAGTAAATTTGACAATTCATGGATAATAATTATAATTATACTTTAGCTTTAAAAATGTCATTCCGGTTAAAAAGCTTCTACATTCTGGTGTATTAACCATTACAGTAACATAAAAAATGAATTTGGTATTTACTAGTGCTGTTAATTCAGTGCAGCTGTAGCAAAAACCTGACATTGGGTGATAGTCTAATACATTTAAGTACTGCATATGATAAATTTCACTGGCAACACTTTGTCAGCTTTTTTACAGCAGAATTGAATCTGTGTATTTAACCAACGCATGTGTCAGATCAAATCATTTCTCACATTCACGCAGTCATTTCAGTCTCATGCAGTGAAATGCTCAAATTAAAGAGCATCGGTGTCATTACAGAGAGCAGCAGCGCTACCAGGCTCAGGTAGACGACACACATTAGAGCTCAGTGAAGAATGAATTTGAGCGGCTTTGTTTAAGCCAGTACTGATCTGTCAATATGTCCCCAGATCAACATTGATACTAATTCATAAGATCAACTCGGGACACTTCCAGTTCCAAGAACAGTTTAAAGGATATAGTTTGCAGTTGTTTTATCTCGGGCTGAGTGATGTGGCTGCCAGTCGATATAATACAAAACAAAGGTTACAACTGGGTGATACAGCTTCAAATTATATCAGGGTAAAATTAATTTAATTTCAGTCAATATTGATGATTATTGATAATATCATAATAGCCTATTTTTAAATTTGAAATAACTTAAAAAGCACACAAATAGCCTAATCCTATTACGATGTGTTTTTAATTTCCTTAGTCAAAACTTTTAGTTTTAACAGGACACAAATATGACATTTATTGTGATTTGTGTTGAATTAACATCAGTTTCTCTGTTCAGTGTTAATTTCAAATACATGTTTTAAAACATATTGGTTAAAAAAAAGTGTGATATGTTGTTAAACTTGTAAAAATAGCAAAAAACCTGTAATCTTGATGTACAATACACGTCACACATCAGATTCTACTGATGTTAGAGGCTTCAACATTTGGTAAAATGTTGACCAAGGACTGTATTTTTAGTTAGAAATATTAATACATTCATAAACAAACACTTTCAGGAATCTTCTGGGGGCCAAACATCACCCTTATTTAAAAATTTGGCACTTTCTTCTGTTTTTAAAGTCCAACAATAAAAAAATGATATAAAACAGATAAACAGAGCATCTTTTCATTGGTAGAGTGGTCACAAGTGCTTCTTTCACAGTTTAGTTTTCTGAATGTTTTTAAAGGGTTCATTGATTTATCAAAACAGTAGACTTCAGTTCACATGCAGAGTAACTGGTAAACATTGACCTCCAGACCAGCCGACACAAGACTCATTCTACCTGCAAAACTCAAAACTCAAAACTAAAAATAAATAAATAAATAAATAAATAAATAAATATCTCTATACATATATGTATGTGTGTGTGTATGTATACTTGGAGCACTAATATTGATTGTTAGGAGTGACTTGGGACATCCCTGGCTTTGTTATGTTTTTGATATGAAGTGGTTTAACTTAAATTCCAGGTAACGGCAGCGATGCAGGTGCAGCCTCCACCTTAGCTCGGCAGGAAGGGGACGAGTGGGTGCTGAACGGAACCAAAGCCTGGATCACCAACTGCTGGGACGCCTCTGCCACCGTCGTGTTCGCCACCACGGACAAAAAACTCAAACACAAGGCATGCCAGAGCTTGCTTTAATCCTCTTACAGCAGAGACAAGGAGTGGATTGTGAACTGCACAATATTGAAAGCTTTTTAATTCCTGGAGCTGCTGTTTGTGTTCCGTGTCTGCAGGGTATCAGTGCCTTCCTGATCCCCATGCCACACCCAGGACTTTCTCGAGGTAAGAAGGAGGACAAGCTGGGCATCAGGGCCTCGTCCACCGCCAACATCATCCTGGAGGACTGCAGGATACCACTGGGAAACATGCTGGGCCCACGCGGCGCAGGATTTAAGATTGCCATGGTAGTATAATTAATGCATTTTCTTCACTCAGGTCTGTTTACAAGAATTAAATTAAGATAAGAGCCAAATCAAGCTGCGAGTGTCTCATAACAAACCGGCTCATTGCTTTTTTAAACTGGTCACTTAAATCTTTCAATGATTACAATTTCCTGAATATCGATTGCACAGGTTATTTCATAAAACATTAATCAGTCCTTCCCACCTGACCCCCTCACAATCAGCTGATTCCTTTAGGTACAATAACTTTAATATGTATTTGATGAAGCCGTGCAAAGTTTACCCTTCCTAAAATATAACCAACTTTGAGCATCAGTATCATGAAATATCATGGTTTTAATAATAAAACTGCACCAGTTAAATATCTATGACACAGAGTCATAGAAACAAGCCCTGATACCCTAGATGTGTTACCAGTTTTACACTCAAAACTGTTAAAAGTGCTTTAAACTTTAAATGTGGGGCAAGTGGTCGGTCAAAACAAGTTAGAGCAAACAAAATGTCTCCTTTTTAACTACATTTTAATATCGGACTTATCTTATAGCCACAATTCCTTCTGTGTTAAAATAGCGTTCTAAGATAGACACGTGAAATTTAAGTTCTTCCATGATAATTCAGTCAAGGAATATAATTTGAAGAGTCAACAACCAACTAAGCATCGTGACAAATCAAATCATCACAGTTGTTCACAATGTACCAACGGAAACAGGTCAGGGAACAAAGTGAGAGCAAGAACTTCTCACGATCAGAGGAGAATCTGAAAGAGTCTCAAACCAGCAGTGAACTGGTTAAGTCAATATGATTTGTCCAAACGATTTTACAAAACATGTGAATGTTGTTTCTCCATTTCACAGCCAGAAGCTACATTCATGGTGTTAAAGTATGACTATACTAGTCATGTTATATATAATAGAGACAAACTGGAATTCTGTTGCTTTTCTTTTTGTGGCCCTTTTAGTTTTAGAAATGTCTCAAAGTATTAATTTGAGCTGACCAACACTAAACTCTCATGTTTTACTTGTGAAATTTGTCTTTTTATGTCATCTAACATTTGTACTTTAACTCTTTCTACTTAGCATTTATAAGCAGTATATAAACATTGCAGAAGTGGTTCATTCACACTAAAATGCAGTTGTGCCAGGAAATAAGGGACATTGTGCAGTCTGTAAAAACATTAAACATTTATTTTTGCAGCTGTGTTTTGCTGTATTATCAGCCTTTACTTGTTAATGCCATGAAATTGTGGACTTCCACAGGAGACACATTTATCTACTTAAAACCACATTACAACGTTATAAACTGTTTATTACAGACATGCATACACTTCCTGTCAATGCTAAATAAACAAAGTAGTTACAATCATAGCTACATTTCTGATTGGTGAATAAATTGTATATTGATGAGAGCAGGACAAATGCGCCTGAATTTGTCCATCATTTTTGCTCAAAAGTGAAACAGACTGAGAGCAAATATTTGTATACTGAAAAAGCAATTTAAAGACATCTTTTTACATCACTTTTCCACACAGACAGAGAGATGAAATGTTTTAATCTGCAGCTTGTGACAAAACAAAGATCAGTCATTTCCTGACAAAATGAAAAAAATGAGGTTTGACTTGTAAGTTGATGATGGATCGATGATGTATCTTTACTCAGAGTGCAACACTCCAAAAAGGTTTTTTCAAGTTATTGTCTGTTTGATAGTCTAACATACAAACACTAATGTTACACATCATTGAGCTTTGTATTTAACAGTAACTTAACATCTTCATCCGTGTCCCACAGCAAACCCTGGACAGCGGACGGATCGGCATCGCAGGTCAGGCTCTCGGTATTGCTCAGGCTGCACTGGACTGTGCCGCCGACTACGCACACAAACGAACTGCATTTGGCGCTCCAATTGGCAAACTACAGGCCATACAGGTAACACGACCACTTCAAAACTGTACCATAGCACATCGAATGTTACAGTGCTGTCCGGATTTTCAGCTTTCTGATTGATTGTATCATGTGTGGTGGATGATTTCATCAGGAAATAGATCACCAAATCTCTGCTTAAAATTGTAGTATTTGGGTACAACAAGAGAGACTGAGAGTAAAATAAAACATATTGGTTCAATAAAATATATGCAACATGTTTCATGAATAGTATACAGAGGAGCAAGTTGTCGGACGATATATTCAGCATGCTCTAATATCTTTCTATAGTTGTTAAGCAAAGTAGTGTGAAAGAATCAAACTGTTAAACATCTATAACATGTGGAGCTGTACTTTTTTTTCACTCTTGTTAACACTTGTATTTTTATTTTTATTTTTTATGATTCATAGCATTGTAGCTGTGCCATACTGCACACAAGACATTTCTGAGTTTTCTTCTGTTCCCATAGAGGTGCAGCATTTTATAATAAAGTGAAAAAAAGAAACCAAAGTAAAAAAAAGAAAAAAAAGTGTCCACTGCCAACAAAAACAAAAACCACCCAGAAACTAAAAAGTACCTAAAGGCATTCAGATGACAGTGGCGTTTAGACAGAAAAAAGTGCAGCGTCACATTTGAAGAGCTGAAGCTACAAAATTATTGACATTACTGTTTCAACACCAACTGTATTTTTCTCTTATCGTTTAGTTCAAACTGGCTGACATGGCTGTGGCAGTGGAAAGCGCTCGTCTGCTCACCTGGAAGGCTGCGATTCTTCGAGATTCAAAGAAGCCCTTCACTAAGGTACACAGTCAGCTCTCAGCTCTGATTTACATTTGACATGTCTTGCAGAATAGCACACATCAGCTCTCGTTTGTCCGGCAGGAGGCAGCCATGGCCAAACTGGCAGCGTCTGAAGCCGCCACGTACTGCTCACATCAGGTAACAAAACAATAGCAACAAAAAGAAACGATACAAGTTTAAACAAATTCTACTAATAGCTTTTTAACTTTTTAAAAAATTTGCACTTCACATCAGGCGATCCAGGTTCTGGGTGGAATGGGTTACGTGACGGACATGCCCGCTGAGAGGCACTACCGGGACGCTCGCATTACAGAGATCTACGAGGGCACCAGCGAGATCCAGAGACTGGTTATCGCCGGCCAGCTTCTGAAGGAATACCAGTCATAAAGGCACTTCTGTCGGTGACTTTGGCACAAATTGGAAACACAATCCTAGATCTGCCAGAGACATCACCTCACCCATAAAGATAAGGAAGCCAGTGCGATTGAGGCGCTTGTCCACTTTTTGGCAAGCAGCCACTGTATCAGGGTTAAATCAGAAATGACACTGCAAACGTTCAGACAAGATTCACTTGATTTTATGTCTCCATCGTCTTGTGTCTCAAGGAAATCCAGGATTTACAGCAACATAATTTACCTCCACTGCCTTAAGAGGATGCAAGTGCGATGCCAGTTTAAAGAGTCAGTTCACCTACATTTAAAACAAGGGCATATTCTCTCCTTGGGGCATTGAGCTGTGCAGGTAGTTTTTGGTTTTATGTGTTTATACAGTAATTAAATAGAACTTTATAAATGTATATTTAATTCTTAAGTAAGTTAAAGACATAGAAAAAACGTATTCGATAGAGGCACGTGCAGCTTCGGTCTTCTTGCATACACATACATAAACTTAATTTGCTTAAACATCTGCTGAGATCCAGTCCCATTGTGTTCTGCATCCAATTACACCCACATTATCAGGCATTAGATAACATATCAAGGTACAGATTGCGTATCAGTGCCAGGTGCAGGTGGGGTAACACATCTGAGAGTTGTGGTAGTAAAATGTGAAACTATACAACCTGATTAGACTGTAAGGTAGCTGCTTTAGACAACAGCAGTTCAAAGTTCTTTACATAGACACAAGGATTAAACAATAAGGTTTAATACAGTAAAATACAATTTGAATAACATACAAATACACAAATAGAATTAAAGTGTAATCTGTTAACTGCTATCCAGGGTAACGTTTCTGCTCCATAGTGGACCTGCAATGACCTCTACTGGTCAGTTCAGAGTCTGCACATAAGTCCTGGTTTTATTTGGATTAAAGGGTCCATTTTCTGCTTTCTGATTCCTCCTTTGCTTCAGTGTTAAAGAGCTGTTTTTTGCCCAAGTTAAAGGTCTGCAAACCTAGACAGCCCAAAGTCCATGTCAAAGGGAGTTATTCTCTCCTACAGAAAACTCTGCTCTTTATAAAACACTTACTTTAAACACCTCATTTAAAAGTCCAGGCTTTCCTCCTGTTACTTATCTACATCACCATGTATCACATTCACATCACTCGTCCTTAAGAAGAGCAGCTGCCGCGTAGTCTGACATTATTTCCTCACTAGAGCGGCATCCCTATACTTTAAGATCTGGGGTTACTAACCAATGCTTTGCCAGCCAACTGACCAATCAGAGCAGCCTGAGCTTTTCAGGAGGGGGGCCTTAAAAAGACAGGTGCTAAAATAGAGCGTTTCAGACAGAACAAGTGCTGCAGCAATGTACAACATGAGAAAAATAATGTGTTTTTAACATGAATTGTGTTCTAGTAGACCCTGAAATACTATTCTGAACTTGTAAATATGAACAATATGGGATCTTTAAAGAAGCCCGTTTTCATTCTGCCAATTTGTCTGAGCTGCTGGTATGTCAGAAAAACGCACAAGATGCCCTTTAGCGTTGATGCCACCATCTTTTCACACCTACATGGCACAAGTCACCTGACTTTCACCCAGGAGACTGAGATTTGCAGCCTTATTTCATCACTTAGTTTTATTTTATTTTGTGACTTAAACCTGCTTGTCACTTGCTGTTTGATTTAAGTTTCAGCACCAAAACAAAAAGATCCTGGTTTGAGTTCAAATACACCCTTTCACAACGTTAACCACATGTCACAAGACACACTTCTAATTACCTGAAAAGTAATTGTGTTTCCATTACATGTATTTATTTGTGTTTTAAAGTATCTCATCAGAAAAATTATTTTAAAAACTTTATTAATTTTTACACTCATTTGAAGTGGTTTTGGGCTGTTTCTTACGACTTAATGAGCTTCATGGGACATCGAAACACCTTTTCTGAACAAATTTTGACATAGTGAACATTTAACTCACATGACAGATCGACTTATTCTACGTCTTTTGTTGTCTTTGTCTACAAACAGCTTAAACATGACCTACAGCAGCTGACATAGAAGAATTATTATGTAATAATAATTCTAAACAGTAATTTTGAATAATTAAAAACACATACTGAAAACTTCAATTTTTCTCCCGTAGATGGACAAAGTTTTGTTGTTTCATCGTCTCTGAGGATTTCTTTTTAGCAGGTAACAGCTGGTTTTGCTTCTGGCTTCTTCTCCTCTGTTTATTCCAGCCATGTAGCCCACAGCGCCACCTTCTGACGACACTGTACAGCCTAGTTCATTCACTCCAAAACAGCTTATGGAAAAAGGCCGAATTTGCTTTAGAGTTATATGGAAACATGGCTCGTGACAAACCAGTAAAGAATATTTGGCTACAGACTCAAGGCATCTATATCTTGTGTATAGGGATTTTTAAGAGTCTATTGAACGGCCCTGCACGTTCAAAGATGACACTAAATGTGACGCCAAGAGGTCCTGACAAAGCGGCTGTGTATAACCAGTTCAAAGTGAGATAAGGCTCATTAAATTGATGCAGATGTTTGGAAAAAACACTCTTTAACAAGAGAATTAGGAGCTCAGCAGCAGATGTTTAATATTTTAGTATCAGAATTCGCTACATCGACGGCCGAATGAATTCCCTTCTCACAGTACTGTATGTTTTTGTGTGAGCTGACCCTTTACGATCATGAACACTGCAAACCTTCCTGCCACTGACTCACATCTACAAATGGAGCTTCAGCCACCAGAGGGCGACTCAGTGCCTTCAGGTTTCTGTGTCATCACCAACAGTCTGATTCATCAAACACACTCATCAGAATGTACACTGTTGTTGTTGACTGCAGTTTAACTCATTTCTAGATAGCAAGTAGCTGGAGGAGATTCTTGGTAATGCAGTTTGGGATTAATTATGTGAATTTGTCAAATGCTGTAAGAGGCTGTGTTATGAAATGCAGCGTGTCTGCTTCACAGACCTCGGTGCCTCAATGACTTGTACATATTTTAATGTTGCCGATTGTGTGCAGATGATAATGACAACACAATTACAGTGCTTTGTAGATGCTGCAGATAAATTATGGCTTTTCAACATTAAAATGGAACATGAGCAACTTTAACGGTGAATTAAATGTTGTCCCATATTATTACATTGCACCCAGACATGAACGGACCTTTTTTATAGCACACATTTGGACTCATCAAAGCAGGAAAAGCACTCACAACGATACAAACGACTGCAGTCCATTCATCTGAACAAATTCCAGGATCCTTGTACTGGTTCACTGTCACATCTTAATGGGAGACTTAATAGACTCAAAGTAGTTTTTTGGAGGTTTTTTGTTTTTCCTACAATTCTACAATTTCATTTAGCAGATACTTTTATCCAAAGTGACATACATCTGAGATTGGATACAACACAAGCAAGGATCTAGTCAGGACAAAAACAATCTAGATAAGTGCCATAGAACAAGTTCAAAGTTTTGATTGTTGCTGTTTTTTTTTTTTTTTCTTTTTTGTTGTTGTCAATTTGTTTCTTACTGTGGGCTTATCTTTCACTGCAATAAAAAGTCCTGCACAAGGAGAGAGAACCAAGAATGTATTTGAAAATGTATGACAATGTCATAATTGATGAAAAAAAAAAAGACAAGGGAATTTTTTTATGATTGTTTTGCAAAAAAATTAAAACAATTTGGAATCCATATGGCCCGCAGTTTTCCAAGTTTTCACAGGTGTTGGCAATACTAGAAAAAAATGATGGTTCCTCTTACATATTTTATTTGTTTGCACATGCTACACCTCTCTGCACTGTGTAAACAATGCCTGCAGTTCATCTGATAACTAATTTTTCACTGGTCATCACAGCTGAGCCAGTCGTGGCCTCATTGTTGTGACCAGCAGATCAGAATTCTTTTTTCTTTTTAAGGTGAATTTGGTCAGTGGAAATGGTTTGATTTTTGCAGTTTTCACTGAGTAAATTTGATTTAAAATTTGGTGAATTTTCTAGAGAAAGCTACACATCATACATGATCGGTGAAAGGGGAAGTTGAAAAGATAAAGATCTGACAAGTTCTTCAGTTTTTACTGCTTCTGGATGAAATATGGTGTCATTTTGGTGATTAAAAAAAACAAAAAGAAAAAAAGCATAACAGGCCTTTCAAACCTGCCGGCAGGTTTTTGGATTCAGAAGGTGAAGGCAGGAGGGAACGTTCATTTTTACAGACGTAAAATATCCTGCAATCTAATTAATTTGTGGAATCTTGAACTAACCTCAAACCCACAAAAACATCAGCCTCTTTGAAAAAACGAGGCAGTTGTTCCAGTCGCTGCACATCTCCCCGTTTGTGTGCAAAGCGCCACCTACTTTGTTGTGTGTTGTTGTTCCTGACTGTGTTTGTGTGCGCCCGTGCACGCTCTTCTTTGTTTATCCACGTGAGGGCACTGATTGCTCCACTGGTCCAGATCTAGGCCAAGCTTCCTGAGACTGGAGGTGCACCCTGCTGATTGTGCTGATCTTGGTGATAGTCTGCTGGCCGCATTGTTCCCCCCGGCCTTGCATGCTCCCTGCAGGGCCACACCGGTCGTTTAGCGCCCCGTTGGGGTGTGTGAACCAGAGACCTGATTATGTTGACGTCATTTTCTGGCTCTTAATTGCTTCCTCTATTTCACATACAAACGAGCGCATGTACACGAGTGCATTATATTATGTACCCTACTTTCTGTCAACTTGTCACAAGTGAACTTTGTCCTCGTTTTGAAAGTCAGGCATCAGTAGATTTGGGTCATTGTCATGTTAATGCTGGCGCAACAAAAACAAATGAAAAATTCTGTGCCGTCCAACTGTGATGTCTGCATTAATTAACTGAATGAGCCATTTCTGCATGTTTTTCTTCCCCTAATAACATTTTTTTCTCACTGGCGGCTCATTTTTTACTTTAATATAAAGTCCTGCAGTTCTATGGACACAACAGAACCACCTCTAACCTGTCTTCAGTGCAGCATGACACTGTTAGAATAACATAACTCAGCAAAGAAGTTTTTGGATTATTTTACAAAAACTAAAAAAAAACAAAAACAAACTAGACTATCAATATGTGCAACATTTTTGGCCAAGGCTCTACATGCTATTTTTACATTTTTAATTTCTTTGCATATTTGTCTCCTCTTCTCAGTGTAAACACTGCCTGCAGTTCACCTCAAAACTCTGTTAGTCACAGCTAAGTCAGTCATGGCTTCTTAGTTGTGCAGATGAGCGTAGAATTTTTTGCTTTTTGCAATATCTGGTTAGGGTTAATAATTTTTTTTTGTTGAATGTTTAAATGAAACACATTGAATAAAGAGATTTTGATTAAATATGATTATCCCGATAAAACAGCGTGCTGCTGACGAGTGGTTCCACGACCATCGAAAAGCTGAAAACCTGTTGATTTTTTTTCTGTTTACAGGTTCAGGCTGACAAATGATGTCATTATGTGCCTTTTGAAAGGATGCCTTTATACCCTGCTGGCAGGTTTTGGGATTCAGTGAGTTCTGCCACCTTGTCTGCTGCCAGGTCCACTTCCTCTTCATTATAAAGGTATTACAATGCATGAAGAAAAAACTTATATCTCATTCACTGTGCTTCTATCATGTGATTATTAGATATAAGGCCATTATTATGAATGTAAAGTACACCTTGTATTTGAATAAATTGAGAAAAGCCTACTCTTGTTTTCATATTGGTCCTAAAACATCCCAGAGAACAAAAGACACAATTTGCTGCTCTCATTTGCTAATTTTATTTTATTATTTATTTAGTTTAATTTGCTCTACTTATTCACATCTAGCACAAACTGAAATGTTAATAAAAATAAAACTTTACAGCAATAAAGACAGTGTCTATAACATGTCAGATTAACAGGAGCTGAAGTTCAATTTGTTCCAGCTGCTTGTTGGGGTTTTTCTTCTGAGTTTATTAAATATCTTCAGCACTAGACGGCAGCAGGATTCTAAATGATCCCTGATATGCAGACAGAGTTGATCAGGATCTACCAGCAGGTCACACTGTTGACTTTTCTTCAGAGACATGGGGTCACTAACCAACGTTACCTGGCTTTGGTTGGGTCAGCAGACCAATCAGAGCAGACTGGACTTTTCAAAAGGTGACTCTTAAAGACACAGGAGTTAAAATGAAGCGTTTCAGATAGAAGATGAGCTGCAGCAGTGTATAGCATGAGAAAAACACTGTGTTTAGAGCATTAACACATATTCTAGTCAACCCCAGAATATAATTAAAAACCTGTGAATGTGCAGAATATGCGCTCTTTATCCTGCTTTTAAAAACAGTAGTTTATTTCCACATCCAGCTGCAGAGCTGAGAGTCATATGTGTGTTCACCTGAGAAAAACAACACATTTTTGTACATCAAAGCATGTAAATATGTTCTAGTAGACCCCAAAATATAACTATACACCTGTAAATGTGCAGAATGTGAACCTTTTAGGCTGATCAACTTAGTATATGAAGCAATTATAGCCAGTAAATTAAGGTAAATAAATTCAGAAGGATAGAGCCCTTCTCAATCAAACTCATTAATGAACAGTTAGGTGCAGCTACCAAAGGGAGGTCACCAAATATTGTGCACATAGGGATCTGTGATATGCATGTATGGGGGTATGTGTGTATTTTAGGTTTTTTCTTTATATTATTTTAACTTATTTATTTTATGTCATGTAGCTTATGGGTTTTTAGTAGTATGTGTTCTGTTTTGTGTGTTGCTGTGCAGCTTGCTTTTGCCCTTTGTCTAAAACAAATTTCTCCCACAGTAGACAAAAAAGCAAACCTTGACCTTGACCTTGAACAGTTATTTCACATTTATAATTAGCATTTAAGCAAATACGAGTATCAGATCTGACTTAGTATCACGGTCATTTTGGCTGATTTTTTTAGTTCGTTTTTTTCTTACCTTGCACCAACATGCACTTTGCATTGTTTTTCATCACAAACTCTGTAAACTGTAAGTCTGGTTTATCATTTTGTCAAAGTTTTAAGCTGCCAGTAAATTAAGATGAGTGGAAAAATGAAGAGGGCGACTTTGATGAACACTCAAAAGATGATCACGTACACTTAAAAGTTGTAAAATACATCTTGTGACTATTAAACAGCAAACAGGCAAACCATAAGCATGTAAATTGGCTTTATTTAGTCGTGTTTGCCTGCAAATACCTGAACTCATGGCCTACAGACATCAGCACTTCTTTTTGTTTGCTTTTCCCTCCATGATAAATAAATAAAGTTTTGGTACTATAAATAACATATGCTAAATGTATTCACTAATGGGTAAACTGATTGATTGACAGAATGCAAGTTTATCGTGATTAATTGCATGTAAAAGCAACTCATCGGCTGTTTAATTGTGCTTTACATATCAGGACATAAATAACAAGGACAGACAGTTAAACTCTTGTTTCTTCCTTCTTTATTAGAAAAAGTATTAAAAGAGTAGAAAAAACATGACAGAAAGTACAAAACACTGCACATGTATTCAAATGCAAATTCCCTTCTTTGATCACAACATGAGTGCACATCGGTGTGAAAAGGCTTCAGTGCCTGCTGCACGTTCACTGTGGGAAACAATCTCACAAGCTTCATAATGAGTCCACTGGGAGACAGAGAGGGAAAAAAAATATATTTACAAAGAAGCTCTGCAGCTTTTCAGAGCCTCGACCTGCACAATAACATCAGTGCAACTTCCTGATAAAACACCGCTGGCAACAAACTTCAGCTTCAGTCCAGGTTTCACACTGTTTTCATCCTACAGTGGAAAAAAAAATCTCGGAAAGGTGCCAGAAAAAATACATTAAAAAAACAAACAAACAAACCAAAAAAAGCCCCAGTAAAATACTGTGATTTTCAAAAACTGTAACAATGGTAAAGAAAAAAAAAAGCAAATTTCTGTAAAATAACGACATTTGTAGCTGATTTAAATGTAGTAAAACAGTGTAATTTTCCAGTCACATATTGTAAAAGAACAAATTGCCATTTCTAAAAATGCACATTTTTGCTGCGGATATTGTCTACACTTTTCACTTGGTTTATTTTAGAAGTACATCCCTTTTCCTGTGATTTTATTAAATATTATCTGCAATTTCACAGAGCAGGAAAATCTGTAAAGTGGCAGCAAAAAATTTTGTTCAGAACTGTTTTTTAAAAAGTTTATTTTGGCAGTGTAAGTGGCTCCTGTGATGCGTAAAAACCATCAGGAGCATAAATAAACTCGTGCTGCCTGACGAATTTGAAACATACATTCAGTTCAGACGCACAGATTTGACAGTTGCAGCCACAGAGAGCTTTGTGTCTTCTGAGCTCCACCTCAGAGCTCCACTCGGCACTGCGTCCTCTGGAGACTTCATACCTGCCCCACGACTCATGTCCCAGAACCAACTGCATCTCCACATTATACATAATGCTTCTTGTCGAAGTCCCCGTTGGCTGTGATCGTCTTGGTGGGAGCATATTTGATGGGGTAGGACCCCCGCACCCCCTGGGAGAAGGAGCAGCAGAGCAGCGTGCCGCCCAGCAGCAGCAGCGCGGTGGCCGCCCAGCCGATGTAGATGGCGGCGCCGATTTCTCTCTTCTTGGACGGAGGCAGGTTCGGGTTGTGGAAGTCCACGATGATGTTGTTGGCCATCCAGCACAGCGGCACCAGCACGAAGAGTCCGCTCACGATGTAGATGACCCCTCCGGCGTGCACCACCCGCGCCTTCACCGTCTCGTCCTTGATGCAGTTGGTGCACTGCGCCCCGGCCACCGTCACCGTCAGCGCAGCGACGCCCAACACGGCGGAGATGATGGTGAGGGCGCGGGCCGTCTGCAGGTCCTGAGAAAGGGCAAGCACCGAGTCGTGGACTTTACACTGCATCTGGCCGGTGCTCTGCACCACGCAGGACATCCACAGGCCGTCCCAGATGGTCTGAGCCACCACGATGTTGGAGTCGATGAAGGCGGTCACCTTCCACATGGGCAGCCCGCAGGCCACCATCACCAGCAGCGAGCCGGTGACGCACAGCGCCAGGCCGAGGAACTCCAGACAGGCAGCGAGCATGGCTCCGGTTCTACAGGCAGTGATGCTGTGGACTGGACAGCTGAGCTTCAGGGTGTTTGACGGCGCTGTGCTCCGACGCGGTTCATTTATTACACTTACGCTGCTGCGCCTCCAAAGAAACTTTGGGCCAATCACAGGTGACCGCATCTTTGTGTCAGCCAATGAGGAGTCTGTGGGAGAAGCAGCATCTCCCACGCGCACGGAGAGAGCGCACCGGTGAGAGCAGTTGGAGCGGGAGCGCGCACTGAGCTGTGCCGGACTGCGATTCCGAGTCTGTGGGATAAAAGTGGTTTTATGCTCCAGGAGCAGCAGAAACTTGGGGATTTCAACTAATTTGACCCATTTCTATTGTCGAATATGCAAATATCTCCGTTTTCACTCTTTTCTACCTTAAAAAAAGAATAAAACGAACTACAAAAAGACAGAAAATGGCAACCACCATGAAAACAGTGCAATGACCAAAATGTGGTCACATATGATGCAAAATGACCACAAATCGAGACACAAAACTACCACAAAGAGACATAAAACTACAGAGACACTCAGAAGAGACACAAAATGACCAACAGGTGATATAAAATCAAACAAACAGACAAACCACCACAAATACATAATGCCTCCAAAGAGAAACAAAACAACCACAAAGAGACACAAAATTACCTAAAACTGGCACAAACCAACACAAAGAGACGTAAACCAACTACAAAAAGACAAAAACACCAAAGAGACACAAAACAACTCAAGAGAGACACACAGTGGTCAAAAGAATACACAAACCATCACAGTGACACATCAGTGACACAAAGAGATATAAAACTACAGACTCTCAGAAGAGAGACCAAATGGTCCCAGACACAATAATGACCAAAATGAGTCAAAAAAACACCTCAAAGAGACACAAAACAATTGCAAAGAAACACCACACGGCCACAAAGAGGTACAAACAGACCAACAAGAGGCATATAATGACTACAAAAAGACACACAAACTACAGAGACACAAAACAAATACAGAAACATAAGAATATTTCAAAGATACATACACAGCGATCAAGTAAGACACAAAAAGACTTAGAAAAGGCATATAATTATTACAAAAGTACACAAAACAACCACAAAGAGACAGAACAAAGCCAAAGAGACACAAAAATACCTCAAAGAGACACAAAAGAGCAAGAAAGGGACACAAAATCTACAAAGAAACACCAAAACAACTTCAAAGAGACACCAAACGACAACAAAGAGACACAAAATGACCAAAAAAGACAGAAAACTATCGTAAAAGACATTAAACAACTACAAAGAGAGAAAAAAACACCACAAAGAGACACAAAACAGCTATAGAGAGATACAAAATGGTCACCAAGAGACACAAAATGACCAGAAAGAGACATACAATGACTACAAAAAAGCATAAAACAACTGCAGAGACAGAACAAATACAGACCCAAAAATACTTCAGAGACACAAAAACACCACAAAGACACACAAAACCCTGCAATAAACTACAGAGAGACACAAAATGACTAAAAAAAGACACAAAACAGCCAGAACCAGACACAAAACCACCACTAGGAGACACATAACACCTGCAAAGAAACACCAAACAACTACAAATACACAAAATAACCATAAACAGCTATAAAATGTGCAAACATCTTGGTCGTTGACACATCCAGTAAGTTAACAGAACTGTCTCTCTCTCTCATGAATCCAGCAATTTGTAATGTTCATTAATGCCAAACTGGGCTGCAGGGTGGCGCAGTTGGTTAGCACTGTTGCCTCACAACAAGAAGGTTGCCAGGTCGCGTCCCGGTGGGGGCACCGGAATCTTTCTGCGTGGAGTTTGCATGTTCTCCCCGTGCAGCGTGGGTTCTCTCCGGGTTCTCCGGCTTCCTCCCACACAGTCCAAAAACATGTTGAGGTTAATTGGTGATTCTAAATTGTCCGTAGGTGTGAATGTGAGTGTGCTTGGTTGTCTGTCTCTAAGTGTGGCCCTGCGATGGACTGGCGAACTGTCCAGGGTGTCCCCTGCCTTCACCCTGAGTTAACTGGTAGTAAAACAAGACATCCATTTATTCCAAGTATGCATTTATTCATATGTTGGGAACTTATTCCTTGAGCTGCTATATTTAGAGTGCAGCTAAAACTGCGACACTGATTTCCCCACCGTCATTGTTTTCAGCTACTTTCACCCATTTACTTCTGCTTCTAAAACACTCCGAGGCAGGCCGGATGCAGCCAGAGCCAAGCGCTAGGCCACCATGTTGACTCGCTCCATTGTGCTCCGACTGCTTTGCTGAAAAGTCCAATCACCTTTTGTGTTTTTGTGCTTTAAGTGGAGTCAAACTGCTGCACAGTCAACAGCCTGATGACAGAGGCCTTCTGCTGGGACAAAAATATACCCACCATGTCCTGTCCAAAGTGGATCACTCCCCAATATACTTCATTTAAATAGGTCACTGAACTGGATGGACGGATTGAACGGTCTTCAGCCATATCAGCAGCTACATATACTCAAGGAAGTACAAAATTCATGCGCTTGTACTTTACTCGAGTGGTTCCATTTTACATTTCTGAGGAAAATACTGCACGTTATAGATGTATACCTTTTTTTAATGTCAGATGAATGTAGTGAAGCAAAAAAGTACAACATTTATCTCTGGAATGTCAAATGGAAACACTCGTGTAAAGTACAAATACGTTAATTTTGTACTTCCTTGAGTGAATGTAGCTGCTCCAATATGGGTAGATTGTTAAATCCAACTATCAAGTTGAATGACCTAATTAAATGTAATATATTGGGGAGTGATCCACTTTGAACAGGATGTAGTTAGGTACATTTTGAACCAGGCCAGATTATACAATAACAAAAAAAAAAAGAAAAAGAGCTGCACCACAGGCTACGGATGTAAATCGGATGTAATCTAATAATACACTACATGATAGCTTAGCACTCACAGGAACACTCTTCTGTTTTCTCCTGTTCTTTCCAGTTTTACTTTAAATACTTAAGGTTGATTTTTTTTCTGATTACTGACATTTTTAAAGTAAGACTTTTAGTGGTATTGCAGTTTTTATCAGTAGGGTGTTACTCTGTGAAGCTGTACTGAGGCACAGTGGAGCTTTAAGCTAAATCCTAACATCACTGCATGAAGTTTAGCAGCTATTGTTCACTGTGGTGGCTATTTTAGTTTACTTGTTTTTTTGTTTTTTTTTAAATGCCTACCAGAACCATTTAGAGCCTCAAATGCAGGGCAGATGTTAAGATGGATAAATAATCACAAATATCCAGCACGGAAAGATGTACCAGGGATTCATCCAGTAGTGTCTGAAATGCTTCAGTAGCTGTCTGAGTGAGTCTTCTGCTGGAAAACACTTTACACTGAGTCTGAACACAGGCTGAGATGGTGAACGTGATCAGGATTAACATCAACATGTCAGCATTGTCTTTGTTATTCATTGATTCTTCTATCTATATTAAACATACTGCAAATTGTTGCTAATTTCACATGTTTATTACTGGAAATATTAAAGGTTTCCACTGAAATTAACATACAAATTTGATATATTTTTGCAAAATGACATATAACTAAGTAGGATGCTTAGATTGAAAAAAAAAAACCCAAAAGGATTAGTTGTTACATGGGAAATTGCATAATTTTGAAGGGTGTTAACCTTAATTAATAATCTATCTATTGTCTTAACTTTAATGTTTACTTTCATAGTGTATTTTATACAGTATTATAAAAAATACCAATTTCCATGACTAAATAGTTTTAACGCAACATTTAAAGGAGTCAGGTACATTTCCATAATGATTCATCTTAATATTTAAACAAGTTAGGTAGACACCAGTGTTAGTTTTCTACTTGAAAAGACTGCTCTTGTTTAAATGTGCTGGATAAATACCAGACTTCTAGGTTTCCTGATTTTGCTTGTAAGTCAAAAGACCTTGTTTACGAATGTGCTGTATGGACTAACTAACTAACTAACTAACTAACTAACTAACTAACTAAATAAATAAATAAATAAATAAATAAATAAAATTCTATATTGTGATTATTATTATTATTATTATAGAACTATGGCAGGTGGAAGGTAAATCCTTAATTTTGATTGGTTGTCTGAATATTCATGTGATCATGTTATTACATAGTTGGTCTTAAAGGTTCGCTGCAACTCTGAGTATGTTACCAACAAGACAGATTTATGTCTTGGTCAATATTTTTCTCACTTGGCAAAGATTAACTTACTCCTAAAGATTCAGATTCAGATTCAGAAGCAGAGCAGAGGCCAGTCTGGGCTCAAGCTTGAACTGAGACTGAATCCAAATTTGATTCCTTTAATTTAGCTTCTTCATGGAAACTGTGTCAGTCTAAAAATCAGCCCTTATGAGTGTGTTTCTGTGCGTGTGTGCGTGTGTGTATGTGATTGCTTCCAGTGTTTACTGCATCGAAAGTGATGCGTGCTGATAGAAGCTGGACCACACCTTCAGTAATCTGCTAATGAGGACGACCCACAATCTCAGTGTTTTAGTCACAAAGCTGCTCCATTTCCCTCAAAGGCAGAGAACTGAGTCAGACCGCTGCTATCAGAGGGCAGCCTGTTGACTCACCTATTTAGACTGCACCACAGATAAACACAAAGCGGGTGGAGGAAGAGCTGCGGTGCCAAGATAAAGTCTTTCTGTTTTTCTTCTAAGATCTCCAAAATGGATAAACTAGAGGCTGCTGAGCATCCATGAGCAGGTTCATTAATATCAATGTCACTCATTCTTTGTTCGAAGCCTCGAGCAGCAGCAAAAGATACAAATCTGTGACACATGTTCAATATTGTCAGTAACCAAACTGAACAAACCGCAGTCATGTCATTGGGGGAAAAACCTGAGCATGAGTATCATATTTTATTATGTCTTGTTTCTGTGTTTCGCCTTAAAACTGATTTTAAAAAAAGTCAATACTGACAGTGTTTGAGTGCCATCTATTTAATTACATATGTGGATGAACGTCTTCTGTTCAGCTCATGCTAATGTCAGTAAGTTTATTAACTCATGGCTGAGTTTAATGACCGAGAT